GGGGGCCAAAAAATGGCATCGGTGCGACACTAATCAGTGGCCACAACAATAAAAAAGGTGAACAATTTCAACCAAGCCCTAAAAATGGTGTTGGAAGGAGCGCCTATAATAAGAAGGGCAAAAGTTAACAAAATGGACCTTAAGGAACCAAAGTAGAAACATGTTGGAGATCATCAATCTCAGGGAGAAAATATTTCTAAGACTAAGATCTCTGCTTACCTTAAATATGCTCACTTATAATGTAATATTCTAACAGGGCTGAGCTAGATGGGGGTCCAGAGGTGGCCATGGCCACCCCTACCATTTTTTTCGCCCTCTATTCCAGACGGTTGCAGCAGTAATACTCTCAAGGGGAAAGTTCAAACTTATTAAAAATGTTGTGGTTAAGTTTGCAAATCGATATACTAACATTAGAGTTGATATATACATAAATCATGCTCTTTTAAGAGCTAAATTTTGTGTTATATGGGGTAAACAGAATATTGTGTCTCTGCAAGTCATCTAGGTGTCTTCAGTGAAATCATAGATAAATAACTACTTTAATAATAACTTAAAAATCCCTTTAATGTAGATATTAGTACATGTAAATATTAATTTTATGCAGAAAAATTTTTTATAAAAGTAGGTAAGTAATGACAATGAAAAAGATGTTCGCCCCAGAAATTTAGGCCACTATACCTTTTATTTAGACAGCACAAATGTTTAAATATATGCGTCTTTTCGTTAGCAAAGGATGTAGGAAAGTATAGTTTGTCTTTAGAAAATATGTATAATGTGCTTGTTACTGTTGGAACAGTTTAGATTGACCCTGAGGTTCTGGCGCTTATCTGCTTTCAGCCACGCCTCAGTGTACATTGGTTATTGACTGGCCACCCCTATAAAAATGTTCTGTCTATGCCTCTGCATTCTGAAAAGTAAAAGAATAAATTAAAAATTTGACTTATTTTCAGGATATATCATTTAAGACTTTGCTTAGTATTCCTTTGATTGGCTCTAATTTGTGGTTAGTCAGTCACATAACAACAAAAAAAATCTCTTCACAATAAAAACACAAATATAAACAAAATAGTCATAAACCAGATTAAGAAAATTACAATCTGACATTGTGTTTATAACCACTTTTTCTGTGTTTTCTTTTCCCCCTGCTTGCTGTAGTATGAAGAGTTGCTCAACGTGGAAGTTGAGAACCTGCTGGTAAGAGATTTCATCCTCGGTGACTCTTATCATTCTCGGCAAGATCTGAGCAAGTAAGTTGTAACAAAAACATCTGGTTTCATTGGAAAGAAATAATCTGGAATTGGACTTAATTTGCTTATTTTGTTTGCGTCTACTGCTCGTAAAAAAGTTTAACTTTAATTTTTTAAAGGTTTGATGTTAGATGTTTGATCATTGTTTGCATATTAACTTTCAAAAAAATATTGGTTTGCTTTGAATCTTCTCTCAAACAAGAAATGTTACATTATTAAAAAAGAAATTGTCAGTAAATATTTATTTTTAAAATTTTAATACATAACTTAAAAGCAAGAATAAGGCTTTTTCATGCCAGTCATCTTCCAGTCTACTCTAACAAGCATCCCAGCCTAAAAAAACTCTTCCTTACAACTGAGCTTTATGCTTTATCACTGATTTCATGTATTTGTGATCCAAATTGTTTTTTGTTTAAATATAGTTTTACAAGCCTAGTTTTGCTCTCAATGAATCAAATGAATCACTTTAATAATGGATTCTACCAGATTAGTAAAGTCCATTATTAAAGCTCATGCAGATAAATTATTATATTGCCTGTGATCTCAGAAGTTCTCATTAACATCTTGCTCCTGTTTATCTCTCTTTCCTGCCATCTGTCCACTTTATATAAATGTTTATATTGGTGGAATAGCAGTTGTGGGGTCTGTTTTAAAAAGCAGGTTAACTGGAAACTACGTTTTCTAAACCTGAAAACAGGGAAACTGACTTTTGTGGTTCAGAAAGAAAGTTTTCTCAACCTCTGTTTCTGTTACTGTCATAACAATCTCCCCAGAGCTAACCTGGTTGGTAGCAGGTTTTCTTCAGTAAACTCAGAGCCCTCTGTCTCTGCTCTCTTTACTGCCAATCACGTTGTTTTATTTCCTGATATAGGCAGATTTTTTTTCTTCACATTAGGTTTAAAAAAACCCGAAAAACTTTTAAAGTCCTTTTGCAGAGGATCTTATTAAAGAATTATCAATAAATAATTCACAGAGAATGAATGATCCTTCATATTCAAAAAACTATGTTTACTGTTTCACCTCACAATCCTTTACATACATTCACCACTTTATCCGTCCTCGTATTTGCAGCATTATACAGACTTATTTAACAGAAGTTTATATTAGTGAGAGCACATTAGTGTGTGTTAAAACAGCATTGTAGAAAATAAAATTGCACATTCAAACAGCACCAGTCCCATAGAATGGCTTCAGGATGTTCCTCCTCTACCTTGTTTTAAGTTTCTAATATGCAGTTTATCACTGATAACAGCCGCTTCAGCAACCTCTAAAACCCTCTTAACCCTGTAAAAAGTTGTATTTACTATTTACCTACTTCATAGGTCATATCTGTTTTATTTAAAATGTACCTATTTAAAAAAACAACAAAGTTTTAAAGTTTTACTAAGAATGAATTATATGTTTCAGTCACACAGATTTCATGTGGTGATTAAAAAACGACTCAGTTAACAGGTGTAGTGGAAAAAAGTATTAAACTATTCGCCCCAGTTGAATAAACAGAGATCGATGGATTTCACTCAGTCGGCACTTTATTTTATCCTCTCCTTTTGTTACTGGTCATTTTTTTTNAGGACTTCACCATTGAAATTCACCAGAGCTATAGTGAAACTGACAATGCCCACGTGCATGGCAGTTGGATGTTGGAATACATCGGGTAAAAGGGAAAAAATAATGAGTTTTGGAAGGCATGAGTTCACCTTTCCGATTTATAATCCTCCATGGACGGGTTCGTCATTGGAATGCCAACTTAAAGCGGGAGGATTTGTCATCAAACATCTGGCCAGAGAAAAAAACATGTAATATGTAGCTAACATTTGGAAGAAGAATGTTTTCAAGATGACTTGGATAATAGCGCGTTGTGACAAACACCAGATACAGCACAGGGACTTGATCAACAGCCGATACCGCACCGTGACGTCAGAAACCAGTAGGTGGCAGTAGTGTTCTTTGAGAAACATGGATGCCTCCAGTAAAGCACATTCCAACGAAATTACTCTTAATTAAAAACACTTATCATTTAATAACCAGTATGTAATAATTTCATATTTAAAGTACTTTCAGAAGTCTGTATTCTGAATGTGACTGGACCTTTTCTTTAAAAAGACTGAAAACATATAAATAAAATTAAATGAATAAAAACTATCATGTCATTATAAACAGCATGAAACATGTTAAAAGCACTTTAAGACACAGCAGCATCACACAAAGTTATATCAGTCATGGAATCTGGCTTTATAACTCTGAGCAGGTTGTTCCGAACAAGCAGCTGGAAGGACCTGCCTCCAGTCACTTGGTGTAACTCTGTGGTTGTTTTGCAGCCGAGGAGCACTACAGAGATGTGGTGCAGCAGGCGAAAGCAACTCTGAATGCTCAGGGAGTCAGACCTGACCCTGGACATGAAGTCACTGTTGACGGAGGAGTTGAAAAACAGGCTGAGGTCAGTAAATACAAAATGGATCTGAAATAGTTTTGTTCTCTAACTAAGGAGCATTTTTTTTAAATTGATCCTGGTTTATGGTAACAGGTTTGCAAAACGCTAAGTATATTGAGCTAAAAGTATATCATTCGAAAAGTTTTTTCAGGTGTAATCATTTTATGGTCCTTTATTATATAAGCACATGTAGATACAACCAACTGTGTTGAAAACTGTTGTTCATCACATGTGTAAAGCCGTCAAAAAGACTTAGTGGAAGTAAAAATACAAACATCAATGAAGCGGGAGCGTATTTGGGACATGGAGAAAACAAAAATCATTTTGGATCAGTGGTAGTGTTGCATCGATACCAGTATTGGCCAGGGCCCCTATCCAGCAATAAAATGGTGGTATCGGTATCAGCGAGTGCCAAAAAATAGGGCACCGATACCATTTTGAGAGCCAAAAGTTTATTCAACTATTGTCACTCATTCCAGGTATGCAATAATAAGTTCTACTGGATTCACTTTCTATTAGTATTTTTCCTGCTTCACAAAGGTAGGCAGCATCTTGAAAAAGCCATGATGGCAATTATTTTACATCCAAGCAGTATGTATTTCTTTATATATACACACACACATCAATTTCAAACAGATGGTATCGGTATTGGCCACTACTGCACAGCCAGGTATTGGGGGGCCAAAAAATGGCATCGGTGCGACACTAATCAGTGGCCACAACAATAAAAAAGGTGAACAATTTCAACCAAGCCCTAAAAATGGTGTTGGAAGGAGCGCCTATAATAAGAAGGGCAAAAGTTAACATAATGGACCGTAAGGAACCAAAGTACGGTAGAAACATGTTGGAGATCATCAATCTCAGGGAGAAAATATTTCTAAGACTAAGATCTCTGCTTACCTTAAATATGCTCACTTATAATGTAATATTCTAACAGGGTGGAGCTAGATGGGGGTCCAGAGGTGGCCATGGCCACCCCTACCATTTTATTTCGCCCTCTAATCCAGATGGTTGCAGCAGTAATACTCTCAAGGGGAAAGTTCAAACTTATTAAAAATTTTTATCTTTCATACATTAATAATTACTTGACAACTAAAATGCTGTGGTTAATTATGCAAATCGATATACTAACATTAGTATATTGATATACTCTTTTAAGAGCTAAATTTTGTGTTATATGGGGTAAACAGAATATTGTGTCTCTGCAAGTCATTTAGGCGTCTTCAGTGAAATCATAGATAAATAACTATTTTAATAATAACTTAAAAATCCATTTAATGTAGATATTAGTACATGTAATTATTAATTTTATGCAGAACTATTTTTTTTATAAAAGTATACGTAATGACAATGGAAAATATGTTTGCCCCAGGAATTTAGGCCAATATACCTTTTATTTAGACAGCACAAATGTTTGAAAATATGCGTCCTTTCGTTAGCAAAGGTGGTAGGAAAGTATAGTTTGTCTTTAGAAAATATGTATAATGTGCTCGTTCCTGTTGGAACAGTTTAGATTGACCCTGAGGTTCTGGCGCCTATCCGCTTTCAGCCACGCCTCAGTGTACTTTGGTTATTGACTGGCCACCCCTATAAAAATGTTCTGTCTATGCCTCTGCATTCTGAAAAGTAAAAGAATAAATTAAAAATTTGACTTATTTTCAGGATATATCATTTAAGACTTTGCTTAGTATTCCTTTGATTGGCTCTAATTTGTGGTTAGTCAGTCACATAACAACAAAAAAAATCTCTTCACAATAAAAACACAAATATAAACAAAATAGTCATAAACCAGATTAAGAAAATTACAATCTGACATTGTGTTTATAACCACTTTTTCTGTGTTTTCTTTTCCCCCTGCTTGCTGTAGTATGAAGAGTTGCTCAACGTGGAAGTTGAGAACCTGCTGGTAAGAGATTTCATCCTCGGTGACTCTTATCATTCTCGGCAAGATCTGAGCAAGTAAGTTGTAACAAAAACATCTGGTTTCATTGGAAAGAAATAATCTGGAATTGGACTTAATTTGCTTATTTTGTTTGCGTCTACTGCTCGTAAAAAAGTTTAACTTTAATTTTTTAAAGGTTTGATGTTAGATGTTTGATCATTGTTTGCATATTAACTTTCAAAAAAATATTGGTTTGCTTTGAATCTTCTCTCAAACAAGAAATGTTACATTATTAAAAAAGAAATTGTCAGTAAATATTTATTTTTAAAATTTTAATACATAACTTAAAAGCAAGAATAAGGCTTTTTCATGCTAGTCAATAATTCACAGAGAATGAATGATCCTTCATATTCAACAAACTATGTTTACTGTTTCACCTCACACTCC